TATGAGGAAAATCCCAGCTGCCTTTCTAAAATGCCTTAAGGAAGCATACAGCTCGGAACAGGACACAGATGGTATCTAGGGTATGCATCTAGAAGCCAATCGCTGATCAGCATTGTCAGATTGCAGAAGGCGATCTATGGATGCCATAGCACCGGTATAACTTGTTTCTGAACGGTTGGAAAGTGGTTGTTGCTTGTTGGCATCCGTCTGTCTCCGGAGACAGTGGAGGAGTACGCCTTCACGGGTGAAGTCAAAGCGTTGGGGCAAGGGTCAGCAAACTTTTTCAGCAGGGGGCCGGACCTTGTGGGGGGCAGGACTATATTTTGAAAATAAAAATAAAAATGAATTCCTATGCCCCACAAATAACCCAGAGATGCATTTTAAATAAAAGGACACATTCTACTCATGTAAAAACACGCTGATTCCCGGACCATCTGCAGGCCGGATTTAAAAGGCGATAGGGCCGGATCTGGTCCCTGGGCCTTAGTTTGCATACCCATGCACTGGGGCATTAGAGTGCCTGCTGTGGCTGTGGAGACCAATTCAGGAGAGACATGTTTTGCTGAAGCTGGGACAGACGGTGTCTGGTGGTGCTGCTGCTGATGCACATGACATCGTTTCTTCTCAAAAAGGTGTTGCCCTGTAATGATGGGTGACAATGGGGGGAAAAACTGGGTGCAGAAATCTTTTAAGCAATGGACACTATCTTTTCTAAACTTCCTTTCCTAAGTGCTCGCAGACCGACTACTTAATTATCTGTTCCTACTGCAAAGTGCTGGACCATCAAGAAGGCTGATCGCCGAAGAATGGATGCTTTTGAATTCTGGTGCTGGAGGAGACTCTTGAGAGTCCCATGGACTGCAAGAAGATCAAACCTCTCCATTCTGAAGGAAGTCAGCCCTGAGTGCCCATTGGAAGGACAGATACTGAAGCTGAGGCTCCAAGACTTTGGCCACCTCATGAGAAGAGAAGACTCCCTGGAAAAGACCCTGATGTTGGGAAAGATGGAGGGCACAAGGAGAAGGGGACGACAGAGGACGAGATGGTTGGACAGTGTTCTCGAAGCTACAAACATGAGTCTGACCAAACTGCGGGAGGCAGTGGAAGACAGGAGGGCCTGGCGTGCTCTGGTCCAGGGGGTCACGAAGAGTCGGACACGACTAAATGACTAAACAATAACAAAGGTAAAGGACCCCATGGTCCCCTTGCCAACAAAGGTCCGTATAGTTAAAGCTCTGGTTTTCCCAGTAGTGATGTATGGAAGTGAGAGCTGGAACATCAAGAAGGCTGATCGCCGAAGAATGGATGCTTTTGAATTATGGTGCTGGAGGAGACTCTTGAGAGTCCCATGGACTGCAAGAAGATCAAACCTCTCCATTCTTAAGGAAATCAGCCCTGAGTGCTCACTGGAAGGACAGATCCTGAAGCTGAGGCTCCAAGACTTTGGCCACCTCATGAGAAGAGAAGACTCCCTGGAAAAGACCCTGATGTTGGGAAAGATGGAGGGCACAAGGAGAAGGGGAGGACAGAGGACGAGATGGTGGGACAGTGTTCTCGAAGCTACCAGCATGAGTTTGACCAAACTGTGGGAGGCAGTGGAAGACAGGAGGGCCTGGCGTGCTCTGGTCCAGGGGGTCACAAAGAGGCGGACACGGACTAAACAACTAAACAACAACTGCAAATTGCTGTCCTGAGTGGGGGCACCAGCCACTGTCCCTACCTGGTGGAAGGAGACATTGCTGCTGCTTTGGCCTACTTGCTTGCCCTTAGCTGTGGGCAGCAGAGCAGGAGGTCTGGAGAAGATGGACTGACTAGCCACATACATTGCCGCCACCATCATTTTACCTTCACCCTAGGGTCAGATGACAGCTGCTGCAGAGGGTAGTGATTAGAGTAGGACCTGGGAGAGACCTGGGTTCAAATCCCCACTCAGCCACAAGCTCACTGGGTACAACCTTGGGCCAGTCACTGCCTCTCAGCCCAACTTACCGTACTTTTCCATCTATAAGATGCCCCCTTGTATAAGACAAACACATCCATTTTGGGAGACTAAATTTTAAGAAAATGAGGGGAGATGGCCCAAAGTTGTTGAGCCTCTCCCCCTACGCAGCTGCGGGCAGGAGACACTCCCTTGATAGTTTCCCATGCACAGCGGCATCGGATGAAATTGCGCTCCCTCCAGTCATCCAGTTTGCAGGAGCGCAACCTCCCACGATGCCGCTGCGCATGGGAAACGATCCAGGGAGTGCTTCCCGTGCACAGCAGCATTGGGTGAATTTGTGCTCCCGTCACAGAGCTGGCTGGTGGCACGCAGCTTCTCCCCACCACGCAGCTGTGGGCAGGAAACACCCCGCAGATCGCTTCCCGCTCAGTGCGGCATCGGGGAAAGGCACGCTCCCACCAACCGAATGGCTGGCGTCGCACCGCTTCCCCCCACGGCGCCATGCCACTATCCGTGTATTGGACGACCCCCGTTTTTTGACGTGGTTTTTGTGTCAAAAAGCCTCGCCCAATACACAGAAAAATATGGTACTTTGTAGGGATATTGTAGGGATGAAAAGAGGAAGAACCATACATGCCATCTTGCAGACCCTCTAAGTCTCCCTATTTTCCAGGGACAGTCCCAGATTTACAGAAGCCGCCCCGGTTTCTGATCTGATCCCAGAATGTCCCACTTTTCCTTAGGATGTTCCTATTGGAGAAATGTTGGGTGGGATGGGGTTATCTGACCCCTGAAACCATCTGAAGCCAGCCCTGTATAGGGAAGTTTTTAAAAATGTTTAATGTTTAATCATTTTTAAAGATATGTTGGAAGCAGCTCTGAGTGGCTGGGGCAACCCAGTCAGAGAGGTGGGGTATAAATAGTAAAATTATGTGTAATAGGACATGGGTATGCTGGATCCGGCCCAATCGTCTTCTAAATCTGGCTTGTGGACAGTCTGGGAATCAGCGTATTTTTACATGAGTAAAATGTGTCCTTTTATTTAAAATGCATCTCTGGGTTATTTGTGGGGCATAGGAATTCGTTCAACCCCCCCCCCCCGAAATACAGTCCGGCCCCCCACAAGGTTTGAGGGACAGAGAACCAGCCCCCTGCTGAAAAAGTTTGCTGACCCCTGTAATAGGAAATCTCTGTTTTCATCAGAAAAATGTTGAAGAGTACAATCTTGAAGGAAAAGGTGGGATGTGAACTATTTACTTGGCACATTTGTACCCTCTCTCCAGCCAAAAAAAGCTAATCAGAATGGCAATACATACAACCAGAACAAGATTGCTGAGTTTTGGAATATGGTGTTTGCTGAGATCTTGTTGATAACTGAACAAACAATTGCTCCATCCTTTTATCTGGCACTTTCGAACCTGTATGTGGGAACAAGAATGGGATTTGAAAAGTAAATAACATTTCTCCCCTCTTAGCAGCAGCCCAGGGCTGCATTGCCAATCACTGGAATGACCTGGGTTGCTGGTATTCAAAGCAATTTGCCCTTCTTGAAAAGATATACCTCACAAGCTAAAAGTATGTGAAGGACAGAACTTGAATGAGCATTTTAATATATATTTTATATATATATATATATATATATATATATATATATATGCGCGCAACTGTCTGGTTCATTGAAGGCTATAAAGAAACTTTATTCCCAGTAGTGATAGAACTCACAGGCAGAGAGCACTTTTATTTTTATACGTATTTATTGTTTGCAAAGGGAATATTTCTATGAGTTAATACTTTATTACCCCTTTGGAGCTGCCTTGTATCTTTGCACATTTGTCTAGGGTTCTAGGCTGTGAACGCCTTGTGATTCTTCCCATTTTTTTAATTCTTGGTTTTCTTTCTTTTTGTTATGTTTGCATTTTTCTTTCTTTTCTTTTGTAACATATCAAATTAATTATTATTTTTTAACAACACACAAGGGAAAAGGGGCAGGGAGGGAAGAGGAAAAATCAATTGCAAAACTCAGATACTGGTTTCTAGACCTAAATGCAATAAAAGGAAGGTGAAGGCCTTCTTGTTCCAGCAGGCTTTTGGGAACGGACTGCATTTAATATGGGGGCTGGTGCAATTCTGGTAAGTTCTGGCAGGCAAGGAAAAAAAGCCCTTGCCTTTCAGAGCAAAAAGGTCTTTGCCTTTGTTTCATTGCATTTATATATTCAGATATCAGTGCCTGAGTTTCGCTGTTGATTTTTCCGCTTCCATCTCCACCCCTTTCCCCTTGTGTCATTGAATTTATTTTCATTGTTTACTATATATGCATGTTTACTATATATGCTTAGGGAAGTTTTTAATGTCTGATGGTGTATTGTTTTTAATATTCAGTTGGAAGCTGCCCAGAGTGGCTGGGGAAACTCAGCCAGATGGGCGGGGTATAATAATAATAATAATAATAATAATAATATAATAATAATAATTATTATTATTATTATTATTATTATTTGTATATAGTACACCAAATAATAGTATATTTTAAAATGGGGTTTCAGAGTTTTTAGGGGTTTTTGAATGTTTTATGTAGTTTTTCAATTTCATTGTTCTGCATGGGACAATGACAATAAAGATATCAAAATCGAAATCTACCATGTATACACACATACACACACACACACACATATATATATGATTGTTTCCCCGCCCCATGATTTTTAGCTGCTCTTATCCTATCTGTAATCCGCCTTGAGTCCCTGTCAGGTGGAAAATGCGGGTAAATTTTAAATAATATTCAAATAGATTGGCGGACCTGCCCCCCCCCAGCTCAAGTAAAACAATAGAAATCCTAAACTGACCAAACACGTCGGTTCTCCCCCCCCAAAAAAAAATCCTGTCTACGCCCATGTTCAAATGTATTAAATTTATATATCAAGCCGAATAAATATGAAATGTGTACGTGCCGCCGGCGCGCTTTCTCACTCGGCTTCCCCTCCGTGAGGAGAAGCGGGCGCCTGGCGGGGCACAAACCCATCTTGAATTTAAAGGCATTAAATCAATAAATATCCATTTATAAAGATCCATAATATTTAATGAATGGATATTAAGTGGGTCAAAGTGGGTTCCGCCGCGCTGAGGGAAGAGCGCAACTCTCGGCCTTGAAGAAGCGGGCGCCTGGCGGGGCACAAACCCATATCGAATAACGTCTAAAGGCATTAAATCAATATCCAATTATAAATATAAATAATATTTAATGAATGAATATTAAGTGTGTCAAAGTGGGTTCCGCCGCGCTGAGGAAAAGAGCGCAACTCTCGGCCTTGTCTTCTTTCCCTCCGTGAGAAGCGGGCGCCTGGCGGGGCACAAACACATCTTGAATGACGGTTAAAGGCATTAAATCAATAAATATCAATTTATAAATATCAATAATATTTAATGAATGAATATGAAGTGTGTCAAAGTGGGTTCCGCCGCGCTGAGGGAAGAGCGCAACTCTCGGCCTTGCCTTCTTTCCCTCCGTGAGGAGAAGCGGGCACCTGGCGGGGCACAAACCCATATCGAATAACGTCTAAAGGCATTAAATCAATATCCTATCAATAAATATCCATTTATAAAGATCCATAATATTTAATGAATGGATATTAAGTGTGTCAAAGTGGGTTCCGCCGCGCTGAGGGAAGAGCGCAACTCTGGCCTTGCCTTCTTTCCCTCCGTGAGGGAAACGGGGCGGCGCTGTGAGGCGCGCGGCCTCCTTCGCTTTCCCCTCGGCCTCGCTCTCTCGCTCGGCGGCGGAGGCGGAGGAAACTCCTCCCTCGTTGCGCCGCTTCCTTCCCTCCGGCTTCTCCCGGCCTCCGCCTCTCTCTCGCCCGGGCCATTTCCACAGATGAGGACGAGTCACCTGGCCGAGAAGAAGGCGGCGGCGGCGGCAACGGCGACCGGGCTGAGGTAACCGGGCTGAGGTAAGCGCCGGCTTCCCGGGCCGGCTCGGCTCTCTCCGCCTGCCCGCCCTATCTTGCCTCGCAGTTTGGCGGCCATGGCTTCCGCCTCGCAGTCTCCACAGCCGAGGAACGCCGCCCTCTTCCCAGGCCGGGGAGACCCGGCTCAGGCGGGCGGGCGGGCGGGCGGGTAGGAGGGAGCCCTCGCCCGACAAGGCCTCGTTCTTCGGGGTCCAGGCCCGAAGGTCGCTCGCGGGCTTCGCTTCTCCTCCTCCTCCTCGGGAGGTTTCGGTTCCGCCGCGCCTCCTCCTTTGCCGACCTGTTTTGCGCCGGCTTTCAGGATCGCTCTGCGCCCTTTTTCGTGCGCGTGGAGGCGGAGGAGGCCCAGCAAGGCCTCCTCGCCGTGTTACTTTCATGTGGAAGGAACAATCTGGGGTCTCTCGGCGATGGAATGTGGCTTTAAAGCTTTTTTATATATATATTTTGGGCTTTTCTCACATTTGCTTTCCCTCCCCGTAGATCAGCGATGGCCAAACTGGCCCTCCACCTGTTTTGGGACTACAACTCCCATCATCCCTGGCCACTGGTCCTGTTAGCAAGGGATGATGGGAGTTGTAGTCCCAAAACAGCTGGAGGGCTGAGTTTGCCTATGCCTGGTCCAGATCATGCCGGGTCCTCTATGGCAGGCATCCCCAAATGTGGCCCTCCAGCTGTTTTGGGACTACAACTCCCATCATCCCTGGCCACTGGTCCTGTTAGCAAGGGATGATGGGAGTTGTAGTCCCAAAACAGCTGGAGGGCCGAGTTTGCCTATGCCTGGTCCAGATCATGCCGGGTCCTCTATGGCAGGCATCCCCAAACTTGGCCCTCCAGCTGTTTTGGGACTACAACTCCCATCATCCCTGACCACTGGTCCTGTTAGCAAGGGATGATGGGAGTTGTAGTCCCAAAACAGCTGGAGGGCCAAGTTGGGCCAGCTCTGCTGTAGATGCATTGGGTGGGTGTGGTGAGTCATGTTTTGTTCTCCTCTTGCACAAACCAAACTGGATGACTAGCTGAGCAACTGCGGGGGAAAAGGTTTGTAGGGTGAGTCGTGAGAAACTCCTTTCCAAAAATACCCCAACCTGGTCCAGCTCATAGTTATCAAGGCAGTTTTATCTGTTTCCGCCCTGTTCCCATCCTAGGTAAAGGTAAAGGTACCCCTGCCCGTACGGGCCAGTCTTGACAGACTCTAGGTTTGTGCGCTCATCTCACTCCAGAGGCCGGGAGCCGGCGCCGTCCGCAGACACTTCCGGGTCACGTGGCCAGTGTGACATCGCTGCTCTGGCGAGCCAGCGCAGCACACGGAACGCCTTTTACCTTCCCGCTATAAAGCGGTACCTATTTATCTACTTGCACTTTAAGGGTGCTTTTGAACTGCTAGGTGGGCAGGCGCTGGGACCGACAGCGCCATCTGCGTCCCGTCCTAGGGGTTGGTATAAAACCTAGGGCTTAAAAACAACACAAATTGCATTGCATGGGGTTGGACTAAATCATAATTATTATAATCATTATAATTATTTATTATTTATACCCCTCCCATCTGGCTGGGTTTCTTCAGCCACTCTGGGCGGCTTCCAACAGAATATTAAAATAAATAACCTATTAAACATTAAAAGCTTCCCTAAATAGGGCTGGCTTCAGATGTCCTCTAAAAGTCTGGTAGTTGTTGTTCTCTTTGACATCTGGTGGGAGGGAGTTCCACAGGGCGGGTGCCACTACAGAGAAGGCCCTCTGCCTGGTTCCCTGTAACTTGGCTTCTCGCAGCAAGAGAACCGCCAGAAGGCCCTCAGCACTGGTCCTCACTGGGTCCCTTTCAGCTCCACAGTTCTATGATTCTATGAAACACATGGGTACATTACTCCATTTTTATTCCTTTTAAGTTTTATATGAACTTACAAAGTTATGCAAATAATTAAAAGCTGGTGGATCCTGCTCAGTCACCCAGCGAAAAATCCTTTGTTGCTTGCGTGGTGGTTCATTTGCTGCTAACTGGATAAGGTCTGTCGTAACAGAGAACTTGCTGTTTTATTTTATTGTTAACAGTCTGGCCTGTACCCGTGTCCTTGGGGCTAGCTTGCAGCAAGGAATGAAATTTTTTGGAAAATTTGAAATTAAATAACAATAAAAGAGCACCGAAACAAAATTGCATGGAGTAAAAATAAAGCTGCTATTTATTTCAGTACAGCAAACGGATGGAACTGGCAGAAGCTGATAGTTTTAGCCAATTGCATGGACGTAGCCAGGAATTTTGTTAGGGGGCAGGCCTTTTGTTGGGGGGACACACAAACCTCAGTTTGCTATGTATTTTTATTGACTGATTGGGGGGCAGTTGCCCCCCCCCCCCGGCTACACCCATGTACCTATGCACATTATTGACCATTCAACTGGGAAATACTCAAGCTTGCCCTCTTGATGAAACCTTGGGGAAGAGAGTACACATTTGGTACTGCAGATATTAGGACACATTTCCTGCTGATTCCCTGAGATGGTAGTGAATATGAGAGGTCTGCCTCTTAAACTTGTGTACAGTCACACCTTGGGTTACAGACGCTTCAGGTTGCGTTTTTTTGGGTTACGGACCCACTGAAACCCGAAAGTACCGGAATGAGTTGCTTCCGGGTTTCGGTGGTCGCGCATGTGCAGAAGCGCTAAATCGCACGGATCACGTTCGCAACCCGAGCGTCCACTGTAGTGCCAAAGCCACTTTCCAAAGGGTTCAAAGTCAGTCCCATGGTTTCTAGAAAACAATTTAAATCCAGCATACACACTAGACCTCTTGTAAAACGTGTGTTTGAAACTGATGCTCCATGAAGTTTCTGTGCAGTTACCAAGGGTGGCATCGTGTAGTGTTTGTCCAATAGTAGTAGCAGTAATATGATGATGATGATGATGATGATGATGATGATGATGATAATAATAATAATAATAATAATAATAATAATAATATATTATTTATACCCCGCCCATCTGGCTGGGTTTCCCCAGCCACTCTGGGCGGCTTCCAACAGATTAAAAACAGAATAAAACATCAAACATTAAAAACTTCCCTAAACAGGGCTGCCTTCAGATGTCTTCTAAAAGTCAGGTAGTTGTTTATTTTCTTGACATCTGATGGGAGGGCATTCCACAGAGCAAGCGCCACCACCAAGAAGGCCCTCTGCCTGGTTCCCTCCAACCTCACTTCTCACAGGGAGGGAACCTCCAGAAGGCCCTTGGAGCTGGACCTCAGTGTCCGGGCAGAACGATGGGGGTGGAGACGCTCTTTCAGGTATACGGGACCGAGGCTGGTTAGTATACAGGACCGAGGCCAGCACCAACGCTTTGAATTGTGCTCGGAAACGTACTGGGAACCTAACTCTGAGTGCAGCTTAGTAAGCCTTCACTGGGTTCCAGAGGTTATAGCAGAGATGTGCAGTTTAAGGCTAGCAGGCCAGATGTGGCCCTTCTGGCCTCTCCATCTGGCCCTTGGGACTCTTCCCCAGGCCACACGCACACCAGCCCTGTTCCCCCACCATCCTCAGTGCTTTGCCTGGCTGGGCTCTGCCTTGGGACTGTGATAGGGCTCTTGTTTGTCTGGGCAGAGGCTGGGGAGGCATGTGCCTGAGTGCAGAAGCCCCTGGCTTTTGTGTGGCTAGAATGTTGCCTGCTGTGTGAAAGTTCGCATCCTGCCACTTCCCTCTGGCCTTGGCCACAGCTGGTGTATAGCCCTTGGATGGGTCGAAAAGGGTTCTGAGCCCTTTTCAGGCAGAAGTACTGCTGGTAGGCTCCTTGTCAGTGGCAGGCTACTGAAATTCCCAAAATGGGGAGGGGGAGGCACTGAGATGTTCCAGGATCCACTGGATCTCAAGCCAACTCCACTCCTGTGCAGTCCTCCCAACCGTTAGGCCGGCTAATGTGACTCCAGTGCTCAGCCAGAATTTGGATTGCTCTGCTAAGGTTTTAAAAGACCTAGATCACTACTAAATATTGTTGTACCGTTGTACATACTTAAGCCATCAGTGATTTTAATATCAAACTGTGCATTGTTTTGAGGTTAAAGAAAGAGCTTTTAGACACCTTTTGTGTGTGGCACACAATCTGTTATGGTTTCTTGTTGAAGAACAGCGTGCTGGTATACTTCCATCGCATAAAATTGTAAAACGAAAGGATTTTTTTTTAATGCAGAAAACACGTATCTGGTGTTTGCTTTTTGGCTCAAGTGACAGAATAAATAAAAGGTAAAGGTAAAGGTACCCCTGCCCGTACAGGCCAGTCTTGACAGACTCTAGGGTTGTGCGCCCATCTCACTCTATAGGCCGTGGGCCAGCGCTGTCCGGAGACACTTCCGGGTCACGTGGCCAGCGTGACATCGCTGCTCTGGCGAGCCAGAGCCGCACACGGAAACGCCGTTTACCTTCCCGCTTGTAAGCGGTCCCTATTTATCTACTTGCACCCGGGGGTGCTTTCGAACTGCTAGGTTGGCAGGCGCTGGGACCGAACAGCGGGAGCGCACCCCGCCGCGGGGATTTGAACCGCCGACCTTTCGATCGGCAAGCCCTAGGCACTGAGGCTTTTACCCACAGCGCCACCTGCGTCCCTTGACAGAATAAATATAGGTTATTAAATTTGTAAGTATTAGTGAGGCAAGGATAGTAATAGACATCTTGGAAGGGACATGAAGTAACTTTATAAAGGCAAATAGGAATGCAAATTGAGTTCAAGGATGCTGACATTCTCCCTGCAACTCTTTATGAAGTGGTGTGCTCCTTGTAGAGAGAAACATGTTGTGGCTTGGCTGGTTCGCAGGTCTGATTTCTCAATGGGGAACTCTTAATTTGTAATCTTGGGTCTTACAATAAGGATTTTATGAAGGTATATTTCCTTCTTGAGAAACTTCTTCACAGAAGTTCACAAACCTTACAAATGTATTGAAAAGTATTTGTCAATCTGTGGGAGCTGATGTCCTACGCACTGTAGACGAGGAAAATGTGAAGAGTAGGAAAAAGTTCATATTGTATTTATGTGCAGGCATAAGGAGAGAAACATGTTGTGTACCTCCTTTACTGTAGGAGATTCTTGTAATGGATGCCATGTGGACACTCTGTTTAATAACTGTATTTTAGAAAGCAATAGTTTGATTGTCTTCTAAAAATTAGTAACTGGATGGCTTTGAAGTGAACCAAATCAATCAGCTGGTAAAGGCAGCAGTGTCTTTAATTTTAACCAGTATAAGAACTTTTGATAGTTACTGGTATAAATAAGGGGTTGTGGACCTTTTTCATCTTGTGAGCAACCTTTTGGGAGCCGCATGCAGGGCCAGAGACGAAAGTAGGCAGAGAAACAGATACGACTCTTGGTGAAGGTCAAAGGACCCCTGACCATTAGGTCCAGTTGTGGCCGACTCTGGGGTTGCACCGCTCATCTTGCTTTATTGGCCGAGGGAGCCAGCGTACAGCTTCTGGGTCATGTGGCCAGCATGACTAAGCCGCTTCTGGCGAACCAGAGCAGC